TGATCCAGAGTGATTTTAGTTTTCCGCTTAAGGACTATGGGGTGCAGCGGATATCTCATGGCGAATGGTCCGCAGCAAAATATGCGGGACGTAGTGTGCAGAAGATATTTTTAGAAATTATTCACATAAATTTTAAAAAGAAAGCGAATGATATTAATAGATTCTCATAATTTTGGTTTCTATGTCACCCCTTGTTTGGTTAGCTTGCCAACGCTCCAAAGTGGCCAGTTTTGAAATCTTTATCATACCTGCAGTTGACGTTTAGCATTATCTACATAGAAAGTCGAGTCTATGGATCTTGTTTCTCCTTAAATACATACGATTATATTAATAAGTTAACTTTTTTTCTCTGTTTGTGCACAAGGACACTTGATATTGTTTATTTGGCCTGCTGTCATACTTGGGATATCGCGTAAGTTTATCGCTCTTATTTACCAGCTAGTTGTGTGCTTGTTGTTAATATTGGCATTTTTACTGTTATTATAGCTTAAAATGACGAACGAACGGTCCCAGTCACTTCTTCTTCCGCAACAAGGATATTTGTTCACCCAACCTGCCCCATACCTCATGTCGCAGCTAAGTTCTGCGCCACTGGGTTATAACCCTGGCATTCCTTTTTTTCAAGGGACTCCTATTACTGTCGCAACCCCTAGCTTCGGATCAATTTCAGGTTCTCCCCAGGCATCGTTGGACAATGACAGTCGATTTCACCGTTCTCACAATCTTTCCAGTGTTCAAAATATGCCATCTGACCCTGTTATTAATGAAAAAGAATTAAAAACGGTCACTTGGGATGAGCTTAGGAGATTACTTCCTGAACCAGTTCCTGAAACACGTGTCGAATCCGGGTTACTTCCTGATGGTCGGGCATACGCTCAAACCAATCATCGAAGAGAATACTACTTTATATTCTCCTCAAAAAGCCACTACATATTGTACTTCGTGTAATATATATTTTTTATTATTTTCAGTCATTACTATTTTTCTAAGGACAATCTAGATCGCGATAAGAAGTTCATGGAGATTATGTTGGATCGCACTGTAGTGCCTGTCGATAAATTGATCCAAGCTCCCAGGCTAGTTGCGATAAATACTAGTCAACAAGATTTGGAGATTGCTGTTGCAAGTAGTAATCAAGTTTGTTTGGTTGAATTACCTTCGGGTGGACATGGCGTTCGAAGAATTGATGGCTGTAAGCCTTCCGGTCATACTTCTAGATTATTTTCTGCAGCATAAATATTTCGTAATTTTATTTCAGATCCTGGCTCTATTCACTCTTGCGTTTCTACTGCATCGGCGCTTTCTCATTCGGCTCTTGTT